GCACTTGCCTAGCATGCATGAGGCCTTGGGTTCGATTCCTCAGCACTACATAATCAAAAAGAAAAAAGCTAGAAGTGGCGCTGTGGCTCAAGTGGTAGAGTGCTAGCCTTGAGCTGAAGAGCTGAGGGACAGTGCCCAGGCCCAGAGTTCAGGCCCCACGACCGGACCCAAAAAAAAGAAAAAAGAAAGAAAAAGAAAAAGAAAAGAAACACAAGGACCTGAGTTCAAGCCCCAGGATTGCACCAATAGCAACAGCAACAACAACAACATAAAATGAGATCTGAGAAACTCACCCTTAGTGCATCTTCTCTTTTCAAGAACTCAAATTCCACAGGACCAAATTTTCCTTCAGGCAGTGTTCTAGATCCAGTTTCCCCATGACATTCCATTGCCTTCTGGTCTTGAGTGGAACCTCAGGGATCCACATCTAGAAATGAAAACTTTTAGACTTGACAAGACTTGACAAGAGCAAAGCTGGGGCCCAGGACAGTTGTCATCCTGGTTTACTTCCCAAGTTCTCTGGCAGTCTTGCTCCATGTTAGGACTTGTCACCAGGACTAGTGATTCCAGTGGGAGGGAGGCTCTTTGGTGCAGTTATAAGCATCCACAGACCTCTCAATGCTGTGTATTTTGCTCTATTTTGGCAAGACACACGTGTTTGAAGGAATATAAATATGTCATAAAGAACATGATTTTATTGCATAGTTTCATCATTGGTGCACAAGCATGTTTCCTCACTATTATAGGGCCGATGATGACTGTTTCCCTTGGCCCTAGTATGAATGTACATTGCAGTTTTACATTTGGGAAACAATCTTAATTTTTCTTATTACTAACTAAATCATGCATTGTACTACGATGAAGCTTTGTATTAAACATCAATAACCTTTTGCTTATTTATTCTAATTACTTCACTACAGAGATACAAATGTCTGTGTATACAGTGAAAGCTCACTACAAATTTGCATATAAATTGAATGCTTACACTTTACATTTATAAACAGATATTTTTACCTCTGATTCCTGAAAGCCTTTGACACTGGCATAAAATGTTAGCAAGTAAACATTTGCATAGAACTTCATAAAGTTATTTTGCTATGAACATATATACTTATGTAAATATGTTTTATACATATTTTAGATGCTATATATATTGCATCTTTGCTATTATAAGAGGTGATGTACAGAGATATATTGCATATGTATACTGGAGCAAATAAGATTATTATTATTATTCAAAAAATTTAAAATATATTTTTATTATCTTTAAGTATTTGTACAAAGGAGTTGGCATTCAAGAAAGTAGCTTATAAATACACTGCATCTTGCTCAATGTCACACTTTGAGCAAAATCTTGAACGGACTAAAGCAAAATGGGCTTATGAAGAGCTAGGCCTTCTCTACCCCATTTCTAGACGTATCTCCACCCAAATGCACACTCCTGAATGTGTGAAGTGTTATCATGAATCAAGATGAGCTATGTTAGCTATATTCTGATGTACTTCTTGTCCCCTTGTACAACTACTTGACAGATTCAGGCCCACTGTCTTTTTTTTAATAAGTTGTGGTAAGGTTTGTTTTGTATGCTTGGCAATTTTTTATCTTCTTGTTTTCTTTATTTCTTTTTATTTTTGCTATTAAGAGGCAAGAGTTATTTAGATATTGTGGATGTCAGAACTATTGAAGATAATTGCCTGGCAAATATTTCTGTCACTGATGTTATTGTGGCTGTTATATACGCTCGAAGCTTAGTCTTTTTCTTTTTTCACTTCTGTTTATTGTGCTTTTGGCAATATATCAAGAAAGTACGGTCAAATCCAAGCACATCAAGATTTACCTCTATTTTCCTGTCAAATTTGATACTTGCAGCTTTTCCAGTGAGAATTTGGATCCAATTTGAGTTAATTTTTTAATATGATATGTGAAGTAAAGGTCTCAATGAATTCTTATGTATGTGGCTAGCCAACTGCACCAATATCATTTGCTAAAGAGACTAATGAATGACCTTGATAACTCTATTGAAAAGTCACTTGACCCTACTCTGTTTAGTACATGACATTGAGCTCTATAGCTATTGCTATTTTGAGTAACACACTGTGTGCATTTTGATATTGGGAAGTAGAAGTTCTCCACCTTGTACTTTTTATTTAATAGCACCACTCACACAATCAATCCCTTTACCTCCACAGCCCCACTGCTAAGATGATCCCTACAACTTCAAGATAAAAAGACATAACTCCTCTTTGGCCTTTTCATGAGGCCTGCAAACATCCAGGTAATTGGAAGCACCTTCAGAAAACACAGTTGATCTTCCACTGTGTTTTATGCAAGTGAGTGAGCGTTTGTTTCTGCTTGAAGTTCTGACATTGCTATAAATAAGGGTCCTTGGCACTGTAGCTTAATGACATTGTGTAAAAACCACTTAACTCTTCCTTTAAGCGCTAGAAAAGACCTCCACAAATCTAGACTGTCTGTATTTGTCTTTGAGTGGGTTCCTAAGGACATGACCACATTGGGAGCAAGCAAAGGCCCATCAAATGATTTTCTGTGTCAGGGTCTCCTGTTAGATACCTGTCCATTGCCAGCCCTTCATTTTCATCATCTATACCACGAGAACTATGGTGTCTAGGTCTGTCTGTCTTCTTTTTGCTGAAGAAGATTGACCCTGCTTGGAGGCCACGATACTTTGAAATCACAAATCACTATAGGCCAATATATCCACAAATGCTCAGCACCATAAGAAAAACTACAATGGTGCAATGCATAAACTATATCCGCATGATGGCAGCAGTGCTCCATACAGCAGCACAAGCGCCATCTTGCGTACTTTTCTCCCGCCCTTCTTGCCTGAAAAAAATATATATACTATCCTCAAAGAAACAACTGCCCAATAAATAAGTGGGCTAAAGAGAAACTTCTCTGAAGAAGAAAGAAAGATGGCCAATAGACACATGAAGAAATGCTCAACTTCCCTAACCTCCCTAACCATAAAAGAAATGCAAATCGAAACAACATTGAGATACCACCTCACCGCAGCTTGAATGGCTATAATGAAGAACTCTAACAACAACAGATGCTGGAGGGGATGTGGACAGAAGGGAACCTTACTTCATTGTTGGTGGGAGTGTAAACTTGTTCAACCACTTTGGAAAGCAGTATGGAGGTTCCTCAAAAGACTTCACATAGAGCTCCCCTATGACCCAGCAATCCCACTTTTGGGCATTTACCCAAATGTTTACAAACAAGACCACACTAAAGCTACCAGCACAACTATGTTTATTGCAGCATTATTTACCATAGCTAAGATATGGAACCAACCCAGATGCCCCTCAGTAGATGAATGGATCAAGAAAATGTGGTATATATACACAATGGAATTCTATGCCTCCATCAGAAAGAATGACATTGCCCCATTTGTTAGGAAATGGAAAGGCTTGGAAAAAATTATATTAAGTGAAGTAAGCCAAGCCCAAAGAAACAAAGGTCCCATGGTTTCCCTTATTTGCAATATCTAGTATATATATGAGTCAAGCAGGAAAGGTCAGATAATGTGATGTTAGGAAAATGAACCCTTAGATATGTATTTAAATGTTTTTTTCTTTCATGCATTTGTTTCTAACTCATTTATAAGATTATTTCTTTGTAGCTTTGTATGTCCCTCCCCCACAGTATAACCCCTGCTTTCACTATATTTGATGTCGGTATAATTTGTGGAGGAGATGGGGAAAAGCTAGTGGTTTAAGGATACAGGTGGACCTGTTGCAACAATGAGAAGTACAAGTTGTCATATCAAAAACGAACTTTACAACTTTGGGGGGGGGAGGGGAGGAAGGATTGGGTGGAGGGAGGCTGGGAATGGATGTAAAGGGTAAACAAAAGAGGAGGCTGCAATGCTTGATAAGAAATGTACTCATTATCTTGCCCATGTAATTATAACCCCTCTGTACAGTATGTTCACAAAAAATAAAAATTAAAAAAAAATATATATATATATACTGCCCAGAACTAAAGACACCAATAAGGATGCCTGTATTTTTGCCTCATTTGACAGAACAAAAAAATCTTATAATTTGGCTTTGTGTTTTCTTTAAAGCTACATTCAGGAGCAACACTGTCCATGACTGTCAATATTCTGGTCTTTTCAAGAAGTACATGTCAGGCTGGGAAGGTGGCTCAGTGGTAGAGCGCTTGCCTTGCATGCATAAGGCCCTGGGTTCGATTCCTCAGCACCACATAAGCAAAAAGAAAAAAGCCGGAAGTGGCACTGTGGCTCAAGTGGTAGAGCGCTAGCCTTGAGCTGAAGAGCTGAGGGACAGCGTCCAGGCCCAGAGTTCAGGCCCCACGACTAGACCCCCCCCCCCCAAAAAAAAAGAAGTACATGTCCTTGTAAATGGACCTTGTCCATTCAGGCCTGATTTACTTCATGCTGTGCTCCTTATTCAGTAATTCACTATGGCATTAAATTGTGTCCTTCTGGGTGTAAATTTGATGGACAAAGCTGGAAACCTGGGAAAATGCATCAGGTCTGCAAGATATCTTCACCAGTCCCCCACCCCCACCCCCAAAAAAATCAAACTCAAATGATATTTTTGTGGACCTGGTATGGTTGTCTAATAAATTTCTGTTAAGAAATTCTCCCCATAGGCTGGAAATGTAGTTTAGTGGTAGAGTGCTTGCCTAGCATGCATGAAGTCCTGAGTTGGATTTCTTAGTACCACAAACAACAAAAGCAGGAAATGGCACTGTGGCTCAAGTGGTAGAGTGCTAGCCTTGAACAAAAGAAGCTCAGGGACAGTGCCCGGGCCCTGAGTTCAAGCCCCAAGACTGAAGAAATAAAGAAGGAAAGAAAAAAAGAAAATCTCCCCAGCTAATACATAAGTGGATTAATCTATTCATGAAGATAACATCCTCATAGCCTAATTACTTGCCAAGGCTCCTTTCTCCAAATACCATTAGCATTAAAACTTACAGTTTTAAGTTTCCAACACAGGAATTCCGTGGTACACACAGGCAAACCATACTATCAGTCAGTTCAGCTATCTATCTTGGTCTTTATCTGTGAAAAGAGAATTCAAGCAAGACAATAAGCAGTGAAAGTGACAGGAAAGTATTTGAGGAGTATGATGCAGGGGGTGAGATTGGTTGAAGCACTGTGTTAACATGAATGAAGATGGAAAAATGGAATTCTTCCTTAGAACTAATATAAGCTAATTAAGAAACTTAAAAAAATGTCTGTTAGGAAAGCATGTGTCAGGCCCAAACCCTTAATAAGCCAAGTAAAGAGACGTGACAAACGGCAAGAAAAAATGAGATTTACTCTGTGGTATGGACATGAGACTGAAAACCAGAATTTTTGACTAACTTCAGTCATATCCAGGACCCAGACTTGAGTGTTACATTTAAGAAAAAAGAAAAATTTGGACAAGGGTATGAATAAACAGTCCTAGTTAAAGCAGTAAGTCTTTATCTCCATTCTGGAGCTCCTACTTTGGGAGAAATGACTATGATTACTGTTGTCATTTAATGGGAGCAATCTGGTTTGTCTGAGAAGATTCTCCCTGCTCCAGGATGCACCCTCAACCTTACAGTAATTGCCCTGATTTGGGAGTGGTATGCCCCCCAAGGCTCTGCTGTTCTTTGGGGGATAGTTTCAGTGACTTGTCATAAAGATGTTATGCTCCATCCTGTCTTGTCTGGAACCGAAAGTTATTGCTAAGTTAAAGTAGACAGAGTGGCTTAGATCAAAGAAAAATACAAAATGGAGGCAGAGATGTAAAGCTTTTTTTCGTGCTTTAGTTCTTTTGTATGTGCAAGGAAGAAGCCACTGCTTTTCATGAACAAGTACTTGATACAAATAAAACTTTCCATAGGCTGAAGACAGAGTGTTTCTCAGATGAGGATGAGACAGTACTAAGCCTTTAGGGTTTGAAATTGAAATTGCCTATGAGAAATTCCTACCCCTAATTCCACCATACAAGGCCTGAGGCCTGAGTCAAGAAGTTTTAAATAGGGCTGGGAAGGTGGCTCAGTGGTAGAGCGCTTGCCTTGCATGCTTGAGGCCCTGGGTTCTATTCCTCAGCACCACATAAGCAGAAAAAAAAAGCCGGAAGTGGCACTGTGGCTCAAGTGGTAGAGTGCTAGCCTTGAGCTGAAGAGCTGAGGAACAGCACCCAGGCCCAGAGTTCAGGCCCCATGACCGGACCCAAAAAAAAAAAAAAGAAGTAGATGCTACTTACTACATACTACAATGTAAGTCTAAAATTTTAAACAGAAAACTCAACAGTGTGCTGTTCTAAAATAGTATTTTTCAGTTTATCTTTTCAATTAATCTTTATTTTTATGGAAGGATTAAAATGTTTACAAGATCGTCATGCTCAAGTAAATTCATCCTCAGTAAAGCTTTTTAAATACAAACCTGGTATAATCAAAACCACACTGTATATAATCATCCATCCAATTTTAGTATAGTTATTTCTAGTGAGAAACTAAATCGAGGAGAGAGAAGGGGAGAGAGGGGTAGAGGAGGGCAGATTTTGAATTGTTTGCTAGAGAAATTTTCCTCTAAACTTTAAGCAATTTCTTTTATTTCTGCTCTCATCCACCAAATAACTAAATACTAGAGAAAAAGCAGAGTGAAGTAAATCACACCTGAATGAACAGATTATTAAAGTGGAAATTTACTTCCAGAAAGGATAATAGGCGTGATTGAGAAGGCTGGATTTAGGCCTTAGTTTACTTTCATATGGTAAAGCAACTTGGTGCCACAAAACTGGTCTAGAAAAATAGGCCAGCCATTTTAGCTGGCATCTTTGTCTAGGGTTAGCAGTGTTTTTGGTGTTTTTTCAGACAGAAAGGGCGGGAGGAGCGCACTCAAGATGGCGGCCCTGCCGCATTTGCGGTGCGCTGCTGCCACCATGCGGACACAGTTTCTAAAGTCCGGGCGCCATTACAGCTTCCACCCAGTCTAGACATGGCGGCTGGAGGAAGCTGATGTCTGCGGGAACACGCAGGACACGAGGGGGCTCCAAGCTGGGCCCCTCCAGCCCTCGTAAGGCTCTAAGACAGGCCCAGGCAGCACTGGAGACATCTTGGGGCAGAAGCGCCAAGCGTGAGGGTCCTGGAGGGGACCAGAGTGGTCAGGCGATGATGGCGCACGGGAAGCGGTGGGGCCGGAGAAAATCAACCCAAAGAAAATGCAGGTTCATCGCCACATGTTGGTTTTGTTTGGGTCACTTAAAGCAAAATGAACAGTATTTCACAAGGTAGCACTAATCTGCTGGGGTTCGGACCCTCTTGGCTTCTCTCTGCTATTGATAGGTTTTTTCCAAAACAAGTTTTGTAACCTGGAGAGACAGGCTGCAGTGAAAGAGATAGACAGCAAAGATGTCTGTTAGATGAAATCACAAATGGGGAGGACATATAATTGATTTAAGACTTTTCAGAGATTGAAGGGGTTGGAGTGGGGGAAAGGGTGTAGGGAATACAAGACAAATAGCGAACTTATTCAAAGTCCCTGATACACATTTATGGAATTATCACAATGAAACCCTCTGGTACTTTTTTCTAAATTTACTTTGAATCGGTCTTTTATGGGTCTTTTAAACAGGGCATTACTATGGATCTCAGGCTCTTCTGAAACTTTCATTGTAATATATACTGGTTTCAGCCCCCTGAGGTCTGGGCTAGTTGGTGTGGACCACCACAGGTATCTTGTCAAGAAAATTGGAAGTAGTGGAAGCATGAGCTCACAAATCCTTTTACAATAATCCATATCCTCTCCTATTTCTTCCATATCTAATTAATGCTAAAAATGCCTTATCTACATGTTTTCTCATATGACTTAAGAGCAAAACTCTGTCAAACCTTTTGTCTAGCTGTAGAGGTCTAACAAGTTCAGTGACAAGTGTTTTTGTTCTGTCCTGATCACCTGACAAAGCAAAAACGATCAAATAAAACGTGGAAAAAGAAAGAAAAACAACCACACAAGACAGAAAAGTCAGCTATCACTGCACTCCCAATGCTTCAGCCACCAGGACTTGTGGGCTTCTTCCTGACACCTTCTCCATTTAGAACTCCATTGTTCCTGTGAATTTCTTCAACTACTGAAAGGAAGAATTTGCTTCAGAGGTCTGTGCAAACTGTGATCCACAACACTAAACCAAATGCTCCCATATTTCTCCAGTAACTGACTAAGATGTGGAGAGGTCTAAGACTTTCTTTATCTCATCAGGACTATCCTTCTCTGATCAGGGCAATAGTCTTAGAAGGAGTGAATGAAGCTCCACCCTTCTTCCTGTCCCTGAACTTACAGACTTGGGCCTACCAGGTCCTGGTCCTTTCATCTTAAGGAGTCACAGAATGTGTCTGCATTTGCTGCTGCCCAAAAGCAGAGAAAAGTTTGGGGGAAGTTAATGTAGGTCTAGATCCAGTGGACCTTGTGGAGCCCTTCTTTCCACTGTTAGTAAGATTCCAAGGAGGAAATGCTCCGAAGTTGAAGATTTCTGAAACTATTTCCGCATGATGGCAGTGTTGCCCAAGAAAGGCTAGAGCCTTGCCTATGGGAATTCTGCTACCACCCTTCCTGTTTGAAAAAAAAAATGCTAGATAGGAAAAAAATGGCACCATAAGTTTGGTTACCTGTCTTTTAGTAATTGAAGGAAACCTCTCTTAGGATTTTTACTTTGAGTTTAAAAGATATCAAAGTAAGATTCAGCACACAAAACTAGGTTCAATCCCATCTCCTACTCCCCGGCCCTCCAACCCCCACCCCTACTCCCACACACAGATTAAAAAACAACTTGTGAAAATGGAACTGGTAAAATTGAGGGAATGATGAAAGGGTGACATTGATCAAGATGTCATTGTTATGTATTGTCATAATCTAATTTGTACAACTACTTTAAAATATTTTTAAACATTTAACAATTTTAAAGGTTCAAAGAAATTGAATAGGGCTGGGAAGGTGTCTCAGTGGTAGAGTGCTTGCATTGTGTGCATGAAGCTCTGGGTTCAATTCCTCAGCACCACATAAGCAAAAAGAATAAAAGCCAGAAGTGGCACTGTGACTCAAGTGGTAGAGCGCTAGTCTTGAGCTGAAGAGCTGAGGGACAGCGCCCTGGCCCAGAGTTCAGGCCCCATGACCGGACCCAAAAAAAAAAAAAGAAATTGAATAAAATGAGATCTAAGAGTGACTCACCCTTACTTATCAAGCATCTTTTCAAATCTGAAATTTCACATGACCTAATTTTTCTTTATGCCATGTGCTTTCTCTCCTGTTTCCTCACGATGTCCCACTGTCTTGTAGTCACTCATTGGAAGTGAACCTCCAGCATCCATGACTAGAAAAAGAAAAGGAAGCATTTACACTTCAGGGCTTAGAAAGAGAAAACCTAGGCCCTAGGACACTCAGTTGTCATCCCGGTACAAGTACCAAGTTCTCTGGGAGTGCTACTCTATACTGTGATTTGACACTAGGACTTGTGAGTCCAATAGCAACTAGGCTTTAGTAGTGCTTTAAGAGCAGGATCTACCACAAGACTGAATGCTATGTACAATGCTCTATATAGAAACACATACATGACTCCCTCTCAGTTTCATCACTTAACATTGAACACATTTTCCTTTACCATGAAAAACCTTATGATTCTTTCCAATTACTTTAATATAAATGGGTATATAGGAACAGGCTTTTATTTCTCACTGGGAACTCAGTCATGCAGTGGGCCAAGGATTTAAAAACTGACCAAAAATTGTTATCAAGCTTTGTATTTAAATACCACTAACCATTGGCTTATTTATTTTAATTCCTTCAGTACAGAGACACAGAGACTACAAATATGTTTGCATATAAATTGAACAGTGTATTTTAAAAAGGTATTTTTGTATCTGATTTCTGGGTGATTTTTAGCATTTTTATAAAAAAAATTTAAGAAGTAAAACTTGACACAACCTTTGTGATTGACATCTTCATTTTACATAACTTTATACAATTTATATACAAAAGGTGATTTTACTATAGAAATATAAATGCATTCCATATATTTTATAATACATATTTGAATTATGTCATATATATTGCATATATATTGCACTGAATTAGGGATATTTTATTTTTACAATTTTTGGGGGGAGGGGGTCCGGTTGTGGGGCCTGAACTCTGGGCCTGGGTGCTGTCCCTCAGCTCTTCAGCTCAAGGCTAGTGCTCTACCACTTGAGCCACAGCACCACTTCCGGCTTTTTTTTTTTTTTTTTTTGCTTATGTGGTGCTGAGGAATCAAATCCAGAGCCTCATGCATGCAAGGCAAGCGCTCTACCACTGAGCCACCTTCCCAGCCCCTATACAATTTTTAAATAAATTATTTTGGTAAAATTTTATCTTCATAGCATGGCACAGTGGCCCTCACCTGTAACCCAGCATTTGGAAGACTGAAGCCAGAGTATAATGAATTATAGACTAATATACATAAGCAAAAAAAAAAAAAAAGTCCAGGCATTAGTGGCTCTCGCCTATAATCCTCACTACTTAGGAGGCTGAGATCTGAGAATCTGTTCCCAGCCAGCCTGGGCAGCAAAGTCTGGAGACTCTCCAATTAACCACCAACAAAATCCAGAGTGGAGCTATAGCTCAAAATGGTAGAATGTCACCTTTGAGCACAAAAGCTCAGGCCAACAGCACTAGGCCCTGAGTTCAACCCCCAGGACCAGCATCAAAAAAAAAAACAAAAAAAACTGTGTGTTGACATACTTCTGCACATAAAACTAACACATTTCTCTTTAGGTGAAACTGTAGATATTATTACTTCACACAAGTCTCCAGTAGCACCTCACACCACTGTCATTTATCCATTTTGGTACATTTTATTTGATATTGGATATTTTATATTATACTAGTGTACCTTTAATAAATTACCAATTAGAGAATGTGTGAGCAGGCCATCCCCCATGAGAATAACCACTTTTTAAGATGTCTGTGTCACACTGCCCAAAGCTATCTATAATAAAGTCAATGCAATACCCATCAAAAATCCAACAACATTTTCCAAAGATACAGAAGAAGCAATCAAAAAATTTGTATGGAATAATAGAAGACCCCACATACCAAAAAAAAAAAAAAATCCTGGGGCTGGGAAGGTGGCTCAGTGGTATAGTGCTTGCCTTGCATGCATGAGGCCCTGGGTTCGATTCCTCAGCACCACATAAGCAGAAAAAGCTGGAAGTGGTGCTGTGGTTCAAGTGGTAGAGCACTAGCCTTGAGCTGAAGAGCTGAGGGACAGTGCCCAGGCCCAGAGTTCAGGCACCATGACTGGCAAAAAAAAAAAAAATCCTTAGCAGGAAGAACAGTGCTAGAAGAATATTAATACCAAACTTTAAAATCTATTACAAAGCTGCAGTAATAAAAACAACTTGGTACTAGCACAAGAACGGGCCTGAGTACCAATGGAACAGAATTGAAGAACCAGAAATGAATCCACAGTCCAATAACCACCTAATCTTTGATAAGATAGCCAAAACCACAGGATGGAAGAAAGCCTCTTCAAGAAATGGTGCTTCCAAAATTGGCTATACATGTGCAGAAAACTGAAGCTAGAGCCTTATATATCACCTTGTATCAAAATTAATTCCAAATGAATCAAAGACCTAAATGCAAGACAAGATACCCTGAAAATATTACAGGAAGAAATACGGAAAATACTAGAACATCTAGGCATGACAAATTAAAGAAAGGCTGAATAAATAGGATTATATCAAACTGAAGAAAGTTTCTGCATAGCAAAGGTCATAGCAAGATAAATAGAAAGCCCATAGAATGAGAGACCTTCACTAGCTATACATCAAACAAGGGCCTCAATTCTAAAATACAGTTAGAGCTCAAAATATTAAACTGTCCCAAAAACAAAGCCTCAAAGAAACAACAACCCCATTAATAAGTGGGCTAAATTACACTTAAAGAGAGACTCCTCTGAAGAGATAAGAAATTCCAGCAAAACACACAAAGAAATGTAAAATATCGGTTGTCATAAAAGAAATGCAAACCGAAACAACATTGAGATTCCACTTCACCCCAGTTAGAATGGCCATTATCAAGAAAACTAATAATAACAGATGCTGGTTGGGATGTGGCCAAAAGAGAACCACTACTACAGTATTGGTGGGAAAGTAAACTTGTTCAACCACTCAAACATAGACCCAAATGACCACAAACCAGCCCACACTAAAGCTACCAGCACAACCACGTTTATTACATGTTTATCTTTATTTAGATAAGATATGGACTCAACCCAGATGCCCCTCAGTGGATAAATGGATCAAGAAAACATGGTATATATACACAATGGAACTCTATGCGTCCATCAGAATGACATTGCCCCATTAGTAAAGAAATGGAAAGTCTTGGAAAAAATTATACTAAGCAAAGTAAGCTAGACCCAAAGAAACATAGGGTCATGGTTTCCCTCATTTGTAATAACTATTCTGTCTACAATATTTTTAGCAGAGAATCGCAATGTCTCAATATCTATGTGCATATGACCATATAGAATGATGCTTATTGAAATCAACTCCATGATATAGAAACAATTTTTTGTACTGTTTGCAGTTATTTTTTTTCCTTTGGTTTATTCCCTGTTGTCACTGTTTATTATTTCTGTACACTTTGTCTTATATATAAATTCACTGGACACTATATTGAAAATGAACTTTACAACTTGGAGTGGAGGGGAGTCAAGAATGGAAAAAGTGGGAGAAAATGAGGGAGGGGTAACACTACTCATAAAGAAATATACTATGGGCGAAAGACTTAAAGAGAAACTTCTCTGAAGAAGAAAGAAGGATGGCCAATAGACACATGAAAAAATGTTCAACATCCCTAGCCATAAAAGAAATGCAAATCAAAACAACATTGAGATATCACCTCACTCCAGTTAGAACGGCAAAAATCAAGAACTCTAACAACAACAGATGCTGGAGGGGATGTGGACAGAAAGGAACCTTACTTCATTGTTGGTGGGAATGTAAACTTGTTCAACCACTTTGGAAAGCAGTATGGAGGTTCCTCAAAAGACTTCACATAGAACTCCCCTATGACCCAGCAATCCCATTTTTGGGCATTTACCCAAATGTTTACAAACAAGACCACACTAAAGCTACCAGCACAACTATGTTTATTGCAGCATTATTTACCATAGCTAAGATATGGAACCAACCCAGATGCCCCTCAGTAGATGAATGGATCAAGAAAATGTGGTATATATACACAATGGAATTCTATGCCTCCATCAGAAAGAATGACATTGCCCCATTTGTTAGGAAATGGAAAGGCTTGGAAAAAATTATATTAAGTGAAGTAAGCCAGGCCCAAAGAAACATAGGTCCCATGGTTTCCCTTATTTGCAATATCTAGTATATGTATGAGTCAAGCGGAAAAGGTCAGATAATGTGATGTTAGGAAAACGAACCCTTAAATATGTATTTTAATGTTTTTTTTTCTTTCATGCATGTGTTTCTAACGCATTTATAAGATTATTTCTTTGTTGCTTTGTATGTCCCTCCCCCACAGTGTAACCCCCGCTTTCACTATATTTGATGTCAGTATAACTTGTGGAGATGGGGACAAACAAGTCGTTTAAGGATTCAGGTGGACCTGTTGCAACAATGAGAAGTACAAAATGTCATGTCAAAAATGAGCTTTACAATGTCGGTGTGTGTGGGGGGGGGGTAAGGATTGGGTGGGGGGGAGGAGGGAGGCTGGGAAGGGAGGTGAAGGGTAAACAAAGGAGGAGGCTGCAATGCTTGGTAAGAAATGTATGCATTATCCTGCCCATGTAATTGTAACCCCTCTGTACAGTATGTTCTCAAATAAAATAAAATTAAATTAAAAAAAAAAGAAATATACTAATTACCTGACTTATGTAACTGTAACCCCCCTGTATATCACTTTTAAAATAAAATTTAAATTTAATAAAATGTTTGGGTCATGTATTGTTATCCTTCTCTTGTTATATAAAATCTGGCCTCATAAAGCCAGACACAAATTCTGTCATAATTGTTAAAGTGAGTTTTCTTCACTTATAGCTAGAATGTTTTTCAAATAAAAATATATTCTGGCAGGGCATCGGTGGCTCAGACCTGTAATCCAAGCTACTTAGGAGGCTGAGATTTGAGGATCACGGTTCAAAGCCAGAGTGGGTATGAAAGTCCATGAGACTTATGTCCAATAAACTGCTCAGAAAACCAGAAGTGGTGCTGTGGCTCAAGTGGTAGACCAGTAGCCTTGAGCTGAAGAGCTGAGGGACAGTGTTCAGGCCCAGAGTTCAAGCCTCATGACCAACCAAAAATTTTT